GACAGGAATATCTCTCCAGAATATATTTCACTTTAAGGTCATACCTTTATGTCTCTGAGATCGCGTCCTGGCACTGAAGAAGCTAGTGGTTTGCCAAGAAGATGATCAGTAGCAGTGTTACAGTGCTGCCCCATGCATACTAATAGAATGTCAGACGGTGAATGAATGGATATTTCTGTTTTTGATCGGAGTATCATTTTGCTGCATTGGTGTTAGTTTTCTCAGTGTGTATATCGCTGGAGTTTCAGTCTAGAAGTATGTGCCCAAAGTTCTTCTTGTTGAGGTAGCATTTGATACTATTTCCTAACAGTCTTTGTAATACTTAGCTCTGGATTAAAAGGTGATACAGTCTTTATGTTTTGGAAAACCCAATTGAGAATACTATTCAAGACTAGTCATTGCTCATCTTTTCTGTAGTTTGTAGTTTTCACAGACTCCTTGCAAATTTCTGCTCTTGACAGGGAGTTCAGCATTTCTATTGCTACTTAACAGGGTTGATGCTCGTAGCTGCTTTCCTCTTTCTCTGCTTACATCTGACCTAGTGGCCTCTTTTTGTCATCAGCTTGCTCCAAAGTGATCTACGTTTTGCTGTGATTTGGTAAGATCTGGCATACACTGCCAACTCACAACTTGTGAGTTGGGATTTAAAGGGCTTTGATGGATTCCTTTCTGAGACTGTCATGCACTAGACTGTCATTCACAATGACTTTGTCTTCCATAGGTCCTTCAAGTATTTAGTATTTTTGGGTTTTTGGAGTGTAGGCAATATACCAGAAAGCACCAAATTCACTGCAAGCCCTGTCTTCCCAAAGGACTGTTAAAAACAGATTGCTTTTCTCCTCTGACTGACCTGCCAATATTTGGATTGAGCATTTAGTACCATATATGAACTTGTTACAAGGGATGAAATAACAGGTAGATAGGTTTTCCTGAAATACTTGCTCTCTTGGATCTTAATTCTATTCACAGTACACACATGACTCTCTTCTCACTGAAACCACTCAGGTAAATCGCTTAAAAGTGCCTTCATTGCTATAAAATGACTGAAATGTGCCATACAGAGGAGATGGTTCTCCACTGAAGTTTATATGGTTAATTATAGTAATGGTGGTTCACTACTCTCATTACATTTGTAAATAGAATTGATTTTCCAGTGATAGATATTCCAGGCCCTTGAACATAAATTAATGTCTTTAATTCTTCTGTTGCAAGAGTCACCCCTAGAAGGAATTCTGTTAATTGTAGTGATATCTAAGGTGTTAGTCCCACTGTTGATTTTACCGCTGCTTAAAAATCTAAAAAAGCATTTTTCTCTTCTTGGGTTCTCATTGCCCTGCTCTCTGATGTGAGTGCCCTACTTAATCTGCTCGTGTGACTCATCTAGATGATGCTGGCATCGTCACGCAGACTGGTCTTTTCCTGTGTTGTAAAGCAAAGATGCTACTTCCTTGTGCTTGGTGTCATTGTCAAATAGTACAAGTTCCGCACACTTTTTGATAATTACAAATGCCAGTTGCCAAGGAGCCTACCTGTTCAAGGGCCAAGAACTGTGGGGCTGGACAGCTTTTGATGCTGCAACTGAAAGGGGCTGAGGTCATGCCATATTGAAGGGAGACAGAAAAGCAGTGCATGTAGGACTTCAGTTTGAAGAACACTTCTGAGAACAGCAGCTTGTCAGCAGTGACGCGGCATGCTTTCTAGCTATAGTACAGAAAGAGAAAAGGAACACCTTCAATGGTTAAGCTCTTTGTCGTGAGAAAAGAGCAAGGACTGTGCAAGGAGGTCCTTTAACTGGATATATTACACTATTCCAGTGATGATTTTGTAGTTGTTCTTTCTTGGCTTTGCCTTTACCTTTCACAGAAATTATTCTTTCTTTTTTTTCTTTCTTGTTTCATCTCCTTCCATTTGCAATTAATGGTTTTGCCTTTCTTTTCTGCCTGCTTTACTTATAGAAGGTTGTATTAGCTCAGTCACTCTTGTCATAAACATCCTCATACTGTAGAATGAGGTAAGCGTAAGGCACATCTAGTGGTATTGAAAAAACTAAAAACCAGAGCAGTTTGTACAGTCTACTGTGAGAACATTAGGGCACAAGTCTCTTTTGATCTATGCTATGCTGTATTGATTTAACTTTTAGTCCACTAATTAATATTATGACTGTTTGGCCTTTATTACAGCATTTGAAAGCAAGTCTAGTATTTCGGCTAAATTTTTTTTACTTCTAGTGGAGGCTTTATTTCTGAAGGTGTATTCCAGAATAAGGGTGTCCACAGGAGCATTATACTGTCATAATCAAAAAAGTGTCATTAATTCTGGTACAATTTGTGCTGGTAATAACTCTATAAATACAAGTTCTTTTTTTTTTTTTCCTTTTAAAGATAACCAGTATTTTAAGATAAAGGAAAGGGGATTTTTTTTTTCCCCAAATACCTCTATACGAAATGCCACTGAGGGCTTAAACATAAAGGCCTCTCTGTAAAAGGTGTTGCTGATACTGTGCAGTAACTGCAGCTTAGCATCCATTAATGATAACATGTAGGTTAATAGACTTTCCTTTTGCAGTGATTGAAACTCTGAGATTGTCTGCGCAGACATACCCAACAAAAATTAGGATGGCTTAGCTAACGTTGTGAGGTTAATGTGCATTTCAGAACCTCCCAACAAGGGCATACTCTATTGAACCAAACCCCCTTCCTTTCTGTATGTTAGTGCCTAAAGAGAATTTTAAGGTACTTTCTGTCATTTAATGTTACAGCTTCCGTTGCATAACTCATGTAGCGGAATGTGAGACTCCATGATTGGTGAAAGTGTCTACTAGGAGACGGCAGAGCGTCAAAGCCATGGTCCTGCCCTGGAAGGAGAGTGACTTACAGGAGAAGATTTTTGCAGTCTTAGTCATATCTACTGCCTGTGATTTTGTGTAAAACTGGTAGGAAGTTATTTGAATCCAATCAAAAAGTTGGCCGTATGGACAGCTTAGAACTCAACACTTGTTTACCGTGCTGTAAATAGCGGTACTATTACTGTTACCATGGTAGTGACAGAAAGAACTGAAAAAAATAAAAGGGCCAAATGAAGAAGTTGAAAGTAAGAGAAAAATTAACCATTACACCATGCGTTGGATAAATGATTCTTCAAGTTGTCATTTTAACAGTGTCACAGCCTGACTTTGTATCCCCCAAAAGGATCTGAGACAGAGTAAGCTTTTTAGTGGACTATGTGTGATACAAGTTGCATTTTTATATAAAAGATAAGTAATGTTTGAGATATCCTTTTTCTATGGTACTTAGCACATGCTGGCTCAATATTTGACTTCCATGCTTGTCATTTGACTGTCAAGGAGAGCTGTGAATAGTTACATTTACGTAAAAAAGTCATTTATCTCCCATATTTTTGTGAAGCAAGTTAAACCTTTTGCCATCAACAGTGTTGCTTAACCTTTTATGTTGTATCCCTGCTCCATACTGTTCTGAACTTTTATTTTACACTGAGGTTTATTAATCTGTTTTGGCATTGTCGTGTGGAATACAATACTGTTTTCTCTGAAAGTTCATGTAATTTGTTCTGCTTACAGCAAATAATTCATTAATTTTAGATTAAGTCCCTAACTAGCATATATTACAGCACATTCTACCTTTTTAAACTAGTAACAAAAGCAATATGAAATATTTTAAATTTTTAAACACAAAAAATGCATACCTCCTTTAAAATTAGCAACTATATAATGAATGGTACATCTGCAGTATTTTCATGTACGCTGTATTTACCTAAGTAATTTAAAACAAATAAAAAGTAGTCCCTTTACATGTAAAATATTTTTAATTTGTCTTTTGAATGTACAAAACATACATACATCTTATGCATTGCATGCAGATCTCGGACATAAAAATAAACCTTGTTTTTATGTTAGGATAGCACAATTGTCCACAATTGTTCTTGGCACAGTTTTCTACTTGCATGACTATTAAGATACTACAAGGTAGTGACTTCAAGCCTCAGGATACTGTGTTAAGAAGAAAAAGAGGGGAGATTGTGCCTTATTTCTGGCTTCCAGCAGCCTTTGATTTTCTTCCTTTTTTTTTGCTTCCCTTTTCTCTTTTTCACATCAGCTTTCAAGGTACAGTATTATTTGTATTTACATTTACACTCAGTTTACTTATGTTTTTTTGGCTGTAATTCTTTTTTTTTTTAAAACCTGTAAATATGCTTCTGTTTATGATTTGCCAGTTACATATAAAACCTACAGGCTGCTATAAAAATAGTTTTATTAGATTTGCATTTTTATCACAATTCAAATTAAAAGGGAACAGTTCCTATGTTCACTACTGTTGTACTGAATTCAGTTCCACAATATGGGCTAACGGTGCAAAAAAGTTCTGCTGAGGGAAGAGATCTGCATATAAATTGATCAAGACATATGGTTAAATTGTCTTATAAAGGTTCAAAATTTCTCTACCATTCTGGCGGTCTGTCTCTGTAGTAGGAGTTGATGAAGTATTTGACTAGCATGTATTTGACATGAGAGCAGCAAAATGTACATTATTTCCTCTGTTATTTGTCATTGTCTAAACAAATTTATTCTTGCTGTTACATAAAATACCTTAGTAAAGCTAAGCACTATAAAATGCAACTTTGTTCTGGTTTGATGAAAAAATACATCTATGCACAGAATTGCTCTGCCTGATGCTGTAAACTCATAGCTGTATAGAAGAATTGGTTTCACTGAGCTGACTGGAGAACCAGATTTTCAGTGGGATTTACTGGGGTGTCTGCAGGGTGGTGACTTACGTGGGGACTCGAGCCCTGATGGCTGAGCGTGTGTTGGGCACAGAGCCCCGTCCCATAGCTCTTTGACCAGCAGTGGCACACTGAGGCACGATGGATTCCTCCCAGGGTTTCTACGCTAGAAATGTTTTCCATTCCTGTGAAGAGTGGGGCTTCTCTTTTTGCTGCACAGAGCCATTCCGTGTGTTACAACGGTGCCTTGAATTAATCGAATGCTGTTTGCACAGTGGTAAGTGCGCTTGCATTATTAAGCTTCTCGTGTTTGAGCTGCTTCCTGTTTCAGTAAATAGCAAAACTTCCAATGGCTCCAATGAGAATAAGATTAAGCTGTTACTGTATTTCGTGTTTGCATAATAAAATGGTGGTTCTTGCAAATATTTCCAATGGTGATTTCAGGTCCTGAAGTGCCAGCTCTGCTCAGGACAACTCTGAAATTGGCTTTATCTGCTTTCTGTGTTTCACAGAGGATGAACTGAGGCAAAGCATTTCACAGTATCTGCAAAAAAAGATGCTTAATGAAAAGGTGAAAGAGCTGGGGGGAGGGAAATCCCAAAGCACGTTTATGTAATAGATTCAGCTAGATGATCTACAACACTTTTAGCATGCCTTAATATAAAGAGCAGCAAAAATGTCTTTATGTGTTTGAGCCTTTTCTGATTTGCATAGCATTAGAGGGTACCTGTGATACTGCAACAAATTGGCACTGTTTAACTGAAATATAGAAGCCTTTCTGTTGATTTGTTGTCCTTTAGGCGACAAAGCCTAGTAAGCTCAGAGGACTTCTGGAAACAGGTTGCTGCTAGCCAGGTGGAAAGCAATGGTGAGGATCTAGTTCACAGGCAGAGCAGTTCTGAAATAAGAACCTTGGAAGATCCAGGACCTGGGGAAACCTGTGAGCTGAATTTTTCAGGTTTGCTTCACTGAGAAGTGAGCCAGAATAAATGAGATTTTGATTCCATACTGATGACTTTGTTTCAGAGGAAGTTTGAGAATCCATTTGCTGTTGGTCAGACACTGTAGATTTTTCCTTTTAAATGCATCATGCTTGCTCTGTGGTTTATATCACTGTCAATGAGCTTTAGATTAGGTCTTGTTCCCCAAAGGGAAGTGTTTTTAGACAATACTCAATGTAATTAAGTATTTTGTCATATGCAGGTGTTATGCAGGATTTGTTTGTTTTCTTAGTAAACCCTAAGTAAATTTATACAACAGAACTGACACTGAATATGTGATGAAAAGAGCTGATTTTCAGCTTTGTCGCATGGGTCATGAATTCAAGTGAAAGAATACACACCTGTGCTTTAGTGGTGGCTTGCCACCTAGGATGAGCCATATGGTTAGATAAGTGTTATGGGACAAACTAGGTGGCATGCCACAGCTGAGATCTAGGCATGCCCTTCACTTCGCTGCTTTGCATGCCATATGCTACAAAATGCTGTGTTTTGTTGCATTACGTGCTGATCAGCAGTATTTATAGAAGCTATTTTAAGAGCTTGATGCTGTATGTGTTAGAATGCTGTATGGGCAAAAACTGATTACTCCGGGCAAACAGTGTGAGATACTAGCTTACCCTGAACAAAGTTATCGTAATATATGTAGCATTTCAGTTAAATACAGTAAGTGTGGCTCAAAGGGAGAAGTAATATTTCTAATAATCATGATTTGGAATAATCTAAATGTTGTTTCCTGGTCTAACTATGGAAAAACACTAAAACAAGCAAGTACCTCCCAACCACGTTATCCAAAATTTGAAGTAGCTACTGAATTTCACGTAAGGGAAACACTAGAAAGCATATTCTTCCCTGCAATGTTAGGTTAGAGCAAAAAGTCTTAGCTGTTTAACTTGAACTTCAGCAGTTGATCAAACTGTTTCTTAGCTAGGAAATTTGTGTTTTTCATCAATGAAGGAATAATGCCTGTGTCATTCAACACTATCATATTTCTGTGAGGAGGCAAGAAATATTTTCAGTCTACAAATAAAGCAGTTTGATTTGCCAGATGTAATAGAGGATGTTAGTAGAGCTGAGACACAGTAATTTTTTAAACTGTAGGAGCTCAGTTGTGTTTTATAGCTCTGAAGTCTTCATTATTCAAGACTGGACTGCAGAGGCAATGCACAGCAGCCACTCCAGCTGGTTCACCCTAGAAGTTTTAAATAACCACTTGTAAGTATAACAAATCGGTCTGTAAGATCTACAGCATGATTTACTGTATTTTGGCAGTGCCTGGTCTTCATTTCATGAAACAAACACCCAAATCATGACACTTGTTTGGAAGTCAGGAGTTTTTAAAAATAACAGGAGAGAAGAGAGGTAATATTTCTCTGGGAGGTGACGTGTTTAGGATTATTTCAAGCAATTAGGACTTCAAACAAAACACCAAACCAGACACTAGGACTGTGCAAGATGTCAACACAGGTAAACATAGTATCTTTTTTTTCTTTTTTTTGCATGGGAGCTGGTGTAACCTGTTTGTGTGGTATGAAAAATGAAGTACCTGTTAAGAACAGGGAGTTAAATAAGTCTTGACGCTTAATACTTCTGTTCTTGGGGTAAACTCCTTTTCAGAATGTTGTAAGTGAAAAAATACGAAATACTCAATTGATACTACATTTACACAGCCCAACATAACCAGTTCTAGTGGTATGCCATCATACCGCATTTTACTTCCATCCAAATGGAAATACATTTTTCATACAAGCTGAAAATACACGGGTGCCTCCACCTGAGTCATGTGGTTTGGATTAATGTTCTTTTTTTGAAGGAAACTTACTAATCAACCCTGACTGCTGCTTGGCTCTCATTATTGAGTGGTTTAGGAGCACAAGGGACACATTGGTTTTGAATTAAACTCAACTGGAGGATGTGTTTCTGGAGTTCCACCAAGGCACACAGACTGCTAGTGGGCATTGAGTCCACAGGAGTGACCTAAAGTTAGCCCAAAGTAAAACCCATGAAACCATATATTCACTCTTCCAATACCAACTTTCCATTCGACAGATGTGCTGCTAGGGCAGTGTGCAGCTTGCTGACATACACATGGTTAAAGGCACAGTGTGAATGACCAGAGCACAGTTTATGCTATGATTAGGTCTCCCAGTGGCTGGGGCACGCAGACAGGGTCCTTAGTCTGACCTTTGAATGTGCAGTGCAGGTGGTATGTTTTTTTTTTGATGCATCTCCCTGAACCTGAGGTCTTCTGGAAGGACACTATACTAAATACTGCTTTTCTCATACATCATACAAAGGAGAAGTGGATTTTCATTTCTGTGATGTAAATGTGCCCAGAAAAGACCGTTGTTTGACTAAATCTGTGCCTAGAAGCTCTTAGTAAACAGGGTCAGTTTCAGGTGATTATTTGCAAGGGAAATTGTAAAGCTTTATTTGCTTTACTAAAGCAATTTTACTAAATGGTATTTACTAAGTAGTGTTGGTAAATATTTTAATGATTGTTTATCTCAGTTAAATTACGATAAAGTTTTAAAGCGTAAAAACAAATCCTTGTGGTGAAAAAACTCATTTTCCAAAAATGAGCTGCAGATCTTACATGCACAGCAGACAGTTTCTTGATGACATCTTCTTTGTCCAGCTAAAGGAGGAGGTATGGTTTGAAACTATTAAGGCCGTACAATGGCTGTACTTTTTTTTTGGTGATGGCTTGTGCTCACCACGGAAACAGCAGTTAGGGTGGGTGAATGGCATATTTTTACAAAGCTCAATCTCATAATCCTGTACACCTCTGCAGAACTCTTACACAGTGAGAGAGCATACATAAGAGGAGGTTTGCTGTAGAGAACTCCAAGGCTCAGAGTTTGTGACCCTCAGGCACTATCGCAATGATGAATGGGAACATATTTTCACACTGGTTTTAGCACTGGATAGGTTTCCTCTATAATAAATTATTTTATTTTTTAGTTTGATGTAGTGTTATGGGCATGTCTATAAATAGCATGCAGTACAATTTAGGTACTCAAACTGGCACAGGTATTATAGGCAAAACTCGGAGGTTAAACAGTGTAAAACATCATTAATCTGATTGGCCCCACTCCTGTGGGATCTGAACATGGGACGAAAAAATCTGGAACTGAAATTCCAGTCACAGTGAAGCACATATTGTAGTATTTTCTGTTTTGAAGGATGAATCATTGCTTTGTTAAAGTAACTGGTAATGATATACTTTGTTACATTTTTGTAAGTTTTGGTTAACAAAAGCTTAATTCCACTAGTGCCAAACTGAATTTTCCTAAATAGAAGCTGCAAAGTTAGAAACTTTTAATGCATTTTGAAATGCATCAAGATTAAAGGAACTAATGAAGGAGAGGCAAGGAATATCGGTTGGCTTCCTGTGCTTGCAATGAATGCTCATTTTATTTTATCATTTTAAAGCTCTCTGTGCTGTTTTATTTTTGAGTAACTTCTTCTCTAAATTAAAAAAGTCATATAATCAGGACAAGTTCAGTAGGATGTCCTAAGTAAGAGGATTTTACTGCTTGTCTGATTTCTATGGCTGGTACCATTTATTGGATGGCCTTTGAGTGCTTCACAAATAAGTAATGTTTCTGTTACTTCTGCAGTCACTGAAAAAATCGGGCATGCAGATAGGAAGGTGTGTGACATGAATATCAGGCCATTTGTAAATACGGATAAAGCCCGGCACATGGGTTAACAGTTGGTTGTCCCAATGAATGTCGTAAATCCATAAGACGTTACAGGAAATTAGACTATGTCTGGAAGTGCAGCCTAAAAAGCCACCAAAATAATCCCATTGAAGTATAAGCCACCCTTTGCTGTGGGTCAGTGGATGAGGTTGGAACAATGCTGGGTGGAAGAGACCTGTCACTTGTCTGGTGAGGGACAGAAGCTGTTAGCCCAAAGACAGTTGTAGGAAGTTGAGGTCCGTTGTTTCGCTTGCTGCTAACATTTAATCATTAGTTTGTGTGAGGTAGTCCTCTCTGCAGAGGTATGCGTATGCCGGTGTTTTTAGTTAGGTGATGATTTTAAAATCCATTTCAGCCATCTGGAGGGACCGAGGCCTTCGGAGAGGTGCGGCAGGTCACCGCCGAACAGCTGCGAGCTGCGGTGCCAGCTGTGCTCCAGCGGCGAGGTGTGGGCTGGGCTGGGCTGGGCAAGGCGGGTGAAGCAGACTCCCAGCTGCATCATTTCAGAGAGATATATGTAAGCAATGGATGTCTTGGACTAAACATCTGACTTTCTCAGAATAATGTGTATGGCAGGTCACAGATGACCAGTTGGGAAATAACAGTTTGTTCCTTTAAAAATGTAGTATGAAGTCTTCTGAGAGTAACAGATCACTTACATATTTTCTGCTATACCTTCTCTGCCTCAGGAAATCCTCTTTATTCCTGAAGATTTATGCCAATTTCTTGCTAGTATTTCTACCCGTCAGCCTCAGAGTCTTTTCCCGTAGCTATCCCTATCCTCCTAACAGAGAAGCTCAGTGCTGAAACCTTGTATCCTTTTAGATGGTGTAAGGTGTTCTCAGGTAATGTTAGACAGTCTGTTCAGAAGCGGTTGTTGGCCCTTCTAGCTCGAGAAAGGAAAAGCATTTAAACAAAAAGTAGTTGTACCTACCAAGTTAATTTTATCTCTTTCCAAATCCTTGTACAAGTTTTCAAATACACCGTTTTACACAATGACATTTTCTTGGGAACTGGAAGATGATTACTTTAATGAAATGTAGAAAAGGGATGCTTCCAGCGATGCTGATTAAGGGGAAGAGGAGATGATGAGCGTTCTGTTGTGTATAACATTTCTGTTTGAAAAGTTTGTGAAAATGGTCGTGCTAAAAATGGAGAACGACATTTTTAGTTGGGATAAATTATACTGGCTGTGTTAAATTCAGTAGAATTATGCTGATTGCACAAACTAAGACCTGACCCTGAAAGAGCCG